TTTAGTCCAAAGTAACCAAAGTCACCGGCAGGGGCAGAATTACAACAGCATCACACAAGTCCTGACTGGCAGCCCAAGTGTCTTTCTTGGGCCATGTGAAGAGCAATGTACTAGCAACAGCAGCTGGGCTGTATTTCTGTTCATGAAGGACAACGCGCACACATATTACAGTAATAAAAAGCACTAAATAAAATAATACAGACTTTAGAGAGTAAAACACTGAAGACTTTACCATGTCTTGGGTAGAGATACAGCTAGCAGGATTGCTGCTGATTAACTAAGCCTTCCAACTTCTTCAAAATGCAAGATAAATCTATTCCTCTATAAAGACAACAAAGAGGCACCCAATGATTCCTGTAGCCGCCGAGTCTGAATGAAGAATGGAGAGTGATGCTTTAACAAAAACAAACATGAACAGAAAGGGCCATTCTAGGAATCATAAGGAATCCCTCCATCCTGCAAAGAGAAAATATCTTCACTTTTCATTCCACTTGTTCAATCACTTTTCTGAAGAGAATATTTACAATGAGATGTGGAATCCGCAAGACGTATAGTAAAAACATCTCAAGTTTATTACCTATTTATTTTCACACTGGAAGTTCTATCAGGCCCTTCTAATGAAATATATCTCTCTTCAGAAACATGAATGCATCTGCTATTTAATATTCTATAGGCAACATCTAATCTTCAGATCATCCTATTAAGTTTCACGGGTATCCATTTGCATTTTTAAGACAGATTTATAACAAGAAACCAGCTTCAGCATGCAGGGACTTGCTTCTCTGGCAAGGCTTTTTAAAAAGCCCTGAGGAAGATGGCAACAAAACCACATAAAGCCAGTGGTAACTGGATACTTCTAGCTATGTGGCTCAGCCTTCATATAAGAAATGCATCTTTGAGAGAGAGAGAAAATGTTACTTTCACATAGAAAAAAAAAAAGTGGGTTTTTTAATGTGGGAGCATGTTACACAAAAAGAATCTTGAACTTGAACTTCTTTCTCTTGTCTTGGAAAGGGTCAGAAAGATCTCATGGAAAATCTGGACTGTTTGTCTTTGTCTTGGAGATAATTCATATATTTTATCTACTGTGATGCAATAAGAATGACTACTTTGCTTCAGTGACTTGTAGAAATTGTCTAGACAATGTATTTATAGCAGCATAACTTACCTAGATAATCAATGTAACAATCCAAAGTTACAATTTAGAATTTATTTCCCTGCTATAAAGACAGATTTTTTTTTAAGTTCTGACTTACAGCTTATCTGCCTTGAAATAAATGAGTTGCTAATTCTTAGACAGATTAAAATGTCCTATGTAATTTATTGTGTTACAACCTTTAACTGACAATAGGACACATATACAAAATCACTGGGGAAATACATATAGACAAAACAACCACACCACACAAGTAGAAGTGTGTTATTGTCAAAACTGAGTTGCTGGAACATGACAATATCAGGTATTTCTCTTGTTCTAATTTCAGTCAACATTGCGATAATACAGACAAAACGTTGGAAATGGATACAGATAGTGGCTTGGCACCTCAAAGTTTACGGAAGGAGGGAGATGAAAAAGTAGTGTCACCCTTTCAAAAAAAAGACCACACTAATCCCCTTCCTACATACACGTAACTATGATTTACCTTTGCACTTGCTGTGTCTCAGACTCTGAAAGTGACAAAAACCAGGAGATGTGCTATTTTCCATGCACTAATAAAAGAAGCTACAGTTGAGCACTTACTGCCTGTTTAACTATTATACTCCCAACTGTAATAACCCCTTGCCCAGTCTGGAATTTTCAAGGTAGTATCTACCAAGGGATGTGAGAAAAGGGAATTTAATTCACTTAGGAGATGGTGCCACTTAACACATTTAATAGTTAAAAACTGAAACAGAATTTGGTTTAAGAACTCCAGCATAACGTCTTTTTACATAGATATTTCCTGCTGTTTCCAGAGACAAACGAGTATCTGCTCTGTTAACAAGTGCCCAGAATCTGCTAGGAGAAGAAAGACTGGCACCAAGTGAGAATCAGCCTACAGGAAGGACTATTCTGCAGAGAAGTGCAAGCCAAGCACCGCCACACAATGCCCAGGGCAAGCTCCTCCTCACAGGACCATTATGCTGCTGATGGCACATTCAGCAAGGCTCTTGTACATCAGCCAATCTATTTATTTAACTTTTAGGGTGAATAAATCAAATGGCTTAACAAGCAGGATTACCCTGTTACAAATCCATCCTAGGGAAGCCTTCAGCTACAGCCAGAGCTACACTGAAGTCTGCAGCACTCTTGGCTTCCTTTGCCTCCTGCTGGAATGGTTCTGTGGGGAAGTTTTCAGTTTTCCCTCTTGCCTACCAAGTTCTAGACAGCATTTTCTTTTCAATTTAAATGTTTTATCATCTGGCACTAAATCAAATACAAAAGATAGTAACAGAAGAGAAGCGTGAAAATGGGACAAAGGCTTTTTTCTACATGTCTGTTCAGTACACTAAACTTTTTTGAAAAAAAAAAAATTATTTGGATAATGCCAAGCAGGCTTCTAATACAAAACGCAACTGAATGATTAAACCTTCTAATAACAAATGGCTTCATAAATAGTCAGTGCTTTTTCACACGTACCTCCACCTTTCTCAGTCCTGCATAAATTTAAACCACACTTCTAAAAGTGCCAATCCCCATATTTTTAATGGAGTAAATATCAGTGAACACTTCTGAAAAATTCTCCTTTATGATGGAGGGCACAATTTGTGGCTCATTCATTTTCATCTGGAAATACATAACTTTGTTTAGAAAAAATGCACTGTAAGCTGAACATCTCATTTCTTTGGATAAAATTGTTTGTTTCCACTTACTCACTTTTGTAATATTTCAAATGACTGGATTACCTTGTAAAATCTCAAAAGTAATAGCTGTTGTTCTTACCAAACCTCAAGATACATAGTTTTGGATTGGTTAAAGTTGTGAATAGTGGCAGACAGCCCTATGCAGCTATGCAGAATAAAACTGAAATTTGCCTTAAAAAAAATTCACAAAAGAAAGGAGTTCCAAGTTTTATCAACAGAGCAGCCAAATTGAGGCTGGTTTTATATGTACTCTGAGGTGTGATAGACTTGGTGAGTCCCGACCAGTATTTAATTCATTTGTGGTCAGACCGGAAAATCCAGTATTTTGCTGCTATTTAAAATTCTACACTCTCTAGTTAGACTTTCAAGAACTCTAAAAGCAAATCAAGAGGCAAAGCACCATTTCTCATTTAGGGAAAGCTATAGTATTGACAATTCCAGGTAAACATTGTCTCAGTTGGAGAAAGTCTGCGATTGAGGATAAGGCAGCATCCTCTCACATGACTGAAGTACTTGCACTTACTCAGCACACTACAAGTCTTCTTCAGCTGCACTGCAAAGGAAACATTCAGTTTTCATTTAACAAAACACTTTGAAGCCAAAACAAATCTAACTTTGCATAGGAAGTGCCACTGCATTAGAGGAGAAAATTGTGTCTTCTTAGCTGTGGTGTAACCCACCACTTGCACTGTAAAGCCTCTGTCCTTTCTTTCCTTCAGACACTTTTATCTTCATTGTTTCATACAAAATACTTACAGTGCTCCTTTGCTTCAGACAAAACATTTCTGACTGGTCCTGGAAAACAACTCCCAGAAAATGACTTGGTAGTATGTGGGATATATCCCATAAAGATACTTATTAGTGAATACCAAAGCATCTTCTTTTTCCTGTTCCTATTCCTCAGGAATCTTCAGTGATTTAAAATGTAATTGTTGAAAGAAGCTGCATACTCCACCATCAAATGTATAAAGAGTCATTTAAATCATCTCCATTTGACTCTTAGTTTTTTATGCATTTTGCATTTGTTTCTTTGAGGGGCGGATATATGCATTCAGCATTTAGTGAGCTACCGTGATTGGTTCAAGCTGATTGATATAATTTTAAAATATTTACCATGGACTTACTTATGCACAAACTTAGACACCACCTGAAACTGAGATGTGCTGTATAGTCTCTTTTATGCCATCTCTATTACTGTTTAAGAAATGTGATACGTATCACAAGTTAATTTTCTAAATGATGAAACACAGGTCAATGAAAGACATTTCTCATGTTACTTACAACTCCCTATACGTATAAAGAATTCCAACATTTGGCGTACTGATGCTTGTGCTGTTCATCATATTAAGACCTTATAATTGTCCACAGCCCTCCTTGTCATACCATGATTACAGTTCACGACCTTTGAGTGATCATATCTTTTAAAAAGAAAAAAGAAGTAAAAAGAAGAAAAAAAAGATAATTTTCCTTTACCTGAGAAGAAGAATGGCAAAAGAAATAGCTCTACATTTTATTCTGCTGGTTCACAACACCACCAAATATTTGATCATAGAAAGTAAAAGGCAGGTCTGAATGTTTTCCCTGTCTAGTTTAAGGCACTGATGATAAAAGTATCAAACAAAAGTTATAATTCTCCATAGGAACCATTCTTCTCTTCACTGAGCACAACTACATAAGCTAAATGAGTCTTAAAAAACAATCAATACATTGGTTTTTATTAGCATGACTATGAATTATATCTTATTCATTTGGACCTCATAACATACTTGTTCCCACCTTACTTGTGTGTGCTTCCTAACACTACAGGAAGTAAACACAAGTCAATTTTGAAAACTAGAGCTTACTGATGCACATTAGTAGTGCTGATGTCCCTTCTATACTATGCCAAAATAAGGATTTTAAAGCTGAAAAAGGTCCTGTTAAATAATTTCACTTCAAAACATCAGCTTTTTCAGCTGTTCATCACTTGAGGAGAAAAATGGTTTTGCCTAGGAGCAGAAATGAACAACAACTCAAAAATCCCACCAAATCCTTTCGTCTTACCTCAGGTTAGTAATCTGTATTATTTAGACTCTAGTATTTATTTACTACTGTCTGCATTCATGCCATTGATATATTTTTAAGCATAAACATATACATTATAGCAATATACTTACAGCAGCTGTGTTCTTCACTGCATTCCCGACAATCACCACAACTCTTCCTTTAAAGCTCTGGAGCGTGGCAGTTGCCGGGCACTGGACAAGATCGCCTTCTGCAGTAAATGCTGATGCAAATGGGACATTGATGCTGCCAGAAATGTGGCCACGGTTAAAGCTTAGGAAGATCAGTTAAGGACATCTGAAAGGCAGATATTTCTGTGGTACACACAAAGCTGCAGGATGAGCCTCCTTGTCATCCTGGCTGTCACGGTACAACAGTGCTGGTCATTTGTACCCTTGTATTTTACAAACCCCACTTATTATTTGCAATTTCTGACAAAGAACTTTTGACACTGCACATTAAAAAAAGGACAGAGTGAAGAGTTGTTTCATAAAGGACACAGCACAGTACTACAGAAACTGATTTTTAGCATTTCTAAATGAAACACTTGGTGCTAAGGGCGCAATATCCACAGTATACATATTTTCTTGGATTGACTTCAAATCAGCCCTAGTCTGATAACAGGAGCAAAATGCCAGTAAGCACCTGGAGAATCTCTTCAAGAGGAGTTTTATATAAAAGGAATGAAGGACTTACAATAAGAAGCAAAAGTAAACAGAGATTATTGGAAAATTTCCTTAAACCACCTGCTAAGCCCCACAAGCCCCCTACAGTTTCGATCCAAACTGAAATTCTAATGTACATGCACTAACATTCCCAGACAAGCGTCATGTACATTATCTGCAGTCCCACTAATAGCAAGTGTGTTTTGAAAAGGAAACAACATACAAGTACCAGCAATTCTGAGATCTAGTTAGTTGTGCTTCACTTTCAAAGTATGATTATTCAATGAGATTTTAGGAAAAAATACTGAATGTGAAAGTCTCTTCAATAAAAATTACATTGGACCACTACTACCTAGCTGTTTACGATTGTGAAAATGCACCATGACCTTGACAAACCTCTGAATTACTTTCATAGACTGTACACATATGCCTGGAACACTCTCCTTTCCCAACAATAAACAAGAACAGCTTTGAAGACATGGGAAATGGCAAAGTTCTGTAAAAATATACACAGTGCCAAATACCCAAATTAGTCACTTTTATTACTGTACTTGCAGAAAGCTAGTTTAATTTATAATTAAATCTCAGAATTCTTTTCAATAAGGAAGCTGCCATAAGCGGAGGTAAGATTTAATTGACTTAGACTAACATTAGCATTTATTTCTCCTGATTTATGTAAAAGTTTCTGTTTTATGATCATTGTTGTTATAGTGCGGGAAAAACACAGCTTTATAAACGCATTTGAAAGAATAAAAGATGATCATGTGCCATCCACTAACATTGTCAGCTTGTTTCTAATTCGAAGGGGAAAATTACAACACCGCTCCTTCACTAATCTGCGCCAAATCTTTCCCCAACTCTGTTTATAACCACATCGCTCTCACTGCTACTAACCAGGGTAAAAATTCTGAAATGGTAATAATTTAGACAGAATATTGCTTTGGATAGATTTAGTTGCCCACATTTATGCCACTGAGTATGTTTCACTGCTCAGAGAAATTTGACCTAATATTTTAAAAAAGAAATACATTTGATATCATCATTAATATCAAACTAGATAGATCCAAAAACTGTATTTGCTGTCACTCACGTTCTCCCTAATCTTAAGTGACTATCTTAAACATTCCAATACTAGGACGATTGACAGAAAGGACAAAATTTCGTACTACAGTCCGAGAGACCTAAGTATGCATCCATAACTTCTGTAACAGGAGTGGAAGGCTGCCAGTATTTCTAACGATCTTAATGAAATGAGCCTCAGATGAATTGCTGGCCAAGAGAGACAACTGCTTTGAGTTCATCACCTTTTCCTTAGAAAGTCTTCCGTCACAAAGCCGTCTGTTGGGCAGAAGGGCCAGTAGCTCTCAGCCCTGCAACATGAGCTTCATTGTGAAAGAAAGCCCCAGCTTTTAAGTGCACCCTAGTATGACATATGAAGCGCACCTGCTACTTGCTGTAAGTGCTCTCACGCTTTTTTCAAATCACGCCAAAACCAAAGCGAGAGTGAAGTTTAGCACAGCAGGCATTGGTGATGAGGAAGACTAACACCAAAACTGAAGAAATGACTCTATTTTTGAAACACCTCACAGCGGTCTGTCACATTTTAAAACATCTGCCCCAGTAAGAAACAGGCTGCCTGATCCTGTTGCACAGTTTGTTGAAATTTGATGATAAACACAAAGACTGTTTCCTTACCTCGAGAATGCGTGGGACACTAACCCAGGTTTCCCATGTACATCCAGAACTGCTGACAGCTGACTGTATACCCTCTGTTTTCTTCTACAATTGACATACAAACCAATTCATTCAAGGGGTAATTTCACTACCTGCCAGGCTGCCTTTTTAATAATGACATTCCCTATATCCTAATACCGGAGGGGCATTAGGATGTAAGTCCACCCATTATTTAAAGGACACGACATTTTAGTCCTCCATGAACTCTGACCACACCGAAACAACAGCAGCAGTAATTACAACAGTGCACAGGTCAAGCTATGGAGACTTTCTCTCTCCAGCATGCCTCCTCATTCGAGAAATATAAATGGAAAGTCTGATTAAAATTTTCTAATATGAAAGACAACCTCATAAAGCCACTCACTTCATAGCAGTCAAATAATTTTAAAATAATTGAAATTTTGAATCCACTCTGCTGGAGCAGAATAGGATTAGGATGACAGTAGAGTAGAACCTATTATCAGGCTATTAGGAAAGTAACAGAAACATTTAAACAAACACTTTGCCTTTGATCCTGATTATATCATAAATAAGTCCATTACTGTACAGAGACAATAGCCTCTCAGTGCGGTGATTGTAGTCTAGGCATTTTGTATTACTTGCTCTCCTTCTGTATCATACCTGATGATTTCTAGAGAATAGCTTAAATAATTAATAACTGAATGATGCATGTAGAAATAGAAACCTTATTTAACTCAGCGGTATAGAATCACAGAATCATGGAATCATAGAATGGCCTAGGCTGGAAGGGACCTTAGAGATCATCAAAGCTTTCTATGCAATAATAGTAACTTTTTATAGTTTTTATTTCCATGGACTTCTCTTTTAAACTGGGGTCCAGAAAGTATTGTCTCTGGATAAAGAAATGATGTCTCAGAAAATAGTCTGCATTTTTACTGTTTTCTGAATAAAAAGGACCACGTTTTCACCAATTTAGATCCAGAAGCAAAGAAACTGCTGGAGTCCAGAAAATAAAGAGTCGAACTATTCAGAAACATGAATCTCTACTTAATTGGAATCTTTAGTTGATGCATGAAATTAATACATCCAAACAGAAGAAAAATTATTTTTTGTGTTCCTTTGACAATTTTATCTACAGGGCAGATCGCATTACAGGTTCAAGCTTGGCATACAATAAAATTATAATCTCTTGAAAATAACAGCTTTAATTTAGAACAGTATGATGATACTCTTGTGTTTACTATGTAAATAATAAATTTACCACTTCATAGTAAAAATAATACTTTTCTACTTCATCATATTTTGTCATAAATATTGCTAAATATTTAATAGAAAAAAGTTAGTGGCAGTGTTTTTCTGCATACACAATTACCTTTAAAGTGGTATTTTAACAAAATCAGATCAAAAAAAATTAAGTTGAAACATTATTTAAATTTTTCCTACATATTTTAACCCAAATATTTGGATTGGTCCACTAGTCACTTAATTGTCTAGAATTTACGTTTTTCTAGTAGGCATGCAGTATGTTAGTAGCATTTGTTAGACACTGGAAGTTCTTTCCCAATAGGAAAAATGTTGAGAACCTGTTGAATTGCTGTCACTGAAGATCTTTAAGAACAATCCAGACATAGATAATCATAGAATTCAGTTTCTAATCATAGCATGGCCTGGGCTGGAAGGAACCTTAGAGATCATTTAATCCAACCTCCCTGTCATGGGCAGGGACGCCTCTCAGCTAGATCAGGCAACACATGGGGACCGAACGGGGATCGAACCCGGGACCTTGGTGTTATACCACCACGCTCTAACTGACTGAGCTAAGCGGCCCCCTATATAAAAGGAATGATTCTCCTTTCTCAGAATAAAAGGTACACTAAATTCATGATTTTTTATTTTTCTACTTAGTATTGCTTGTGCACTAAGAATTACAGTTTGTGACCACAAGCTAAGAGTACATCTACCACAAAAACAACTAGCTACATCACCTTTGCTATTACGAAAAGAGCAATACTGAAAAACATTACACAAACCAGCAACAAGTATACTCCCAAATGCTCAGTGAAACATTAAGAGTTACCTCTGATAAAGTATTGTCACTATTCCCACTTTTAGATGGATGTTGACAAAGTCGTGTGTTCCTTAGGAAAGTACGTCTGTAAGGACTCCCCTTTTCAAAACTCAAAGAAACCCAGCTCCATAAATACACTACTTGAGAAAAACAATAAAAACTACTCCACATACAAAGAACTACGTATTTGAAAAAGAACGTATGAGGAAGGCGTAGACAGGGTAGCAACCCTGATAAAAATACAGCTTCAACATACCTTTAAGACTTCTGATTATAAGTTAACTATGGAATATAAGTTAGGGCAGCTGTATAACTCCACTACCTGACAGTAGCAAGAAAGCACTCAAGAGGAACGATTTTCCAGCTAAGCATGAGCTATCAACTCTTCTCCATCTCTGTTTCACTTAATTGGAAAGCTACCCACCCTTCCAAAATATTGTTCATATTAAATGGGGAAGGTCAGCTGGCAACACCTGTCGTTAAAAAAAAATAGCATTGAAGCGCTCATGCTAATGGTACAAAGTGGTTTCACGAGACCCACTCAGATCTGAAGGATACTCTTCGCTGTTACGAATGTCCACCACCAGCAGCTTTGGCTTGCTAGACTTTGTTTTCTTTATGGGTGTTTTGGAATGACTAGGTCCTGTCAACTCACACAAATCAATCAGATCTTCTGCTGAAATTCGTGGTGACACCTCTGCCTTCAGGTCATCCAACTTGATGGAATCCCTAGACTTTAAAAGAAGAAAATTAAAATTAGAGCTATTAGCATTAAGAGATATGATTCTTTGAAACTTCTACTTATTTGACAATGTCAAAGTGTAACAACTCAATTAGGAAACAGACCTTCTCCTTACAACTCTAAATTAGTCTGAGTTAAACTGTCCACAAAGAAAAAGTCCAGAGCAGTGCCAAATGCATATCTGCCAATTATAGCCCCATCTTCTGTTGCAGTTGTTAAAAATCCATAATTCTTTGACAATCTGTGTAAACAATTTTAGTTCGTGATTCATTAATCAATTATTCACTGTGGCTGAGAGGGTCACAAAACTCGTAGAATGTTTCTCAGCATCTGAAATTAAGTAAATTAGCTAGAAAATACTCTGAAAGAAGCTGAGAGGCCTCATGCTCGGAGTAGGAAGGAAGGGTAGCAACTGGAGACTTGTCAGAGAAACTTTACGGATGCCTCTGTAAAACACAGAACTATCTAAATACCAGGTACTACCCCAGCCCAAAGACTATGCACAAAATCAGGACATCAAGAAATGTAAGGAATAGTCCTGTATGATAACCCAGAAAGACTGTTCCTTAGTGATGCAAGAATTGGGGAACAGGATAGATGGTAACACATAACACCACACACAAGGTAGTACTCAAGCAACTAGTTTTTTGATACTACTTAATTTGTTTGTCATAAGAGACCTTTCATTGTGAATTATCTCAGAAATGTTCCTAAGCTCTAGCATTTCTTCACTTTAAATTAAAAGCTCATGCATACCTAAATTGAGCAAGAAAAAGTAATCCTTCTTATTTCTGTAAGTAACAGAGAATGCAGAAATCCTGTATTCTTATTAATTAGCAACACATACAAATCTCTGACCTGCAGTAGAAAAAAAACCAAAAACGATAACTGTAAGACAGTTGTGGAATGTTTGAAGCCGTGTCTCCATCTACCTGCTTTCAGAGGTTCTTTCACACTGCTGAAACTTTCAAGTACCATTACAACTACACTTTCACCCAAAAGAATTAGCTTGACTTACTCAATATAAAGCATGAGGGAAACCTCAAGCTTGTTTAAGAGGGTCAGAGTCAGATTCTTTACAAGCAATAGGCAAAGAGATCTGCAGCACATCCTGGGCTTTTGCCCTTGAGAACGTTGGGTTTGAAAAACCTGCCTGAAGAACTAAAAGTGACAAGGACAGCTGCAGTCACTTTTCCTATCATTGCACCTGCAAACATGAGACTTTTTTCTTTAATCCCTCAGCTGCTCCAATGGAACTTCCAGCACCGTATCTGCACTAAAAGGTCGTCATATCACTTCAATTAAATGTTGAAAGTGCTTATTTTTTTAAAAAAAACGTTCATATGCTATGTAATTAAAATACATTAGCATGTATCATGGTGTGAAGGAGTTAATAAATTATGCTTATGTATAGTCTTCTGCAGTAAGAACTTTTTTTTTTCCTGTTGGTGCCACTGACTCAATCTGAAAAATCACAGGCAAATTCTAAAGCAGCTTGTTTTTACTATGCTTCAATCCAGTAGATACAAAGTGAATAGGTTGGTTTATGTACGCATACACACCCCACCCAAAACATTATTGGAATTGACTTAATCCAAGAGGTACGTACATCAAAGATACAGTTCTGGAGCTTAGTCATCTTACAACAGAACTGATTTTCTTCTGCAACCATTGTGCTCCTGTTGAGTAGGAGGTCAAATAGAGGCAAAAATTGTTTATAACTAAGTCCACAGCTGTTTTTACAGAGTTATTCTGGCTTGTCAGGAGACAGAACAAACAGAATAACTATGATTCGTTAGAGGAAGCATCTTATGAAAGATCTTCAGACTGTTTTGATGTCTTATTCTTGAGGAAGAAGACCTATATTAATGAAATAGCCAGCTATTTCATCATGAAGATTTGCTTGTGCGCTCTGCAGCTGTTCAGAACATAAGCACGGGCATACAGCAAGGGACTACAGAAAGTATATAAATAAAAAGAGCAAATAGAACATTATACTGTATTACCTTTTTGAGTGAAACTATACAGTATAGTCAAAATATAGGTCTTTTCTAAGAGTATCACAGTAGCAAATTTTTTACTTTGAAAAAATATTTCATTTCTGTCATCTTCTAGACTGCAGTGATCACACTGATTCAAGACACTGTGTTTATAGGCCATGAAAAAAATTAAAGAGAACAGGAGTAACGCACTGAAGGAAATGGAGGCATTACTAATTAGTAATTTGTCTAACTGACTGTTGTTAGCACTAACATTTGTTTTGGTTTCTAAGCATACTAGTTTCTCATTTAAGCTGAGGACTATTCTAAGTTTAGAGAACATGCTAGAGAGAAGAGGCATACGCATATTTTCCTGAGTTATGTCCCAGAAGAAAGATTTCTTAGACAGTCCTTCTGCAGTTAGAAATACTTTCACAGTAAGGTGCTTTTTTTTTAATCAAAAAGCTCTCAGAATTACAAACAAAATCAGTAATTGCACTTTAGGGAATATATGAGCCCATGAAATAGCCTTTTTCATTGTATATGCTACATTCAGAACAAAAGAACTTGGAAATTGCTAGTCTCACCATATAATTTCCTCCTGAATTCAGAATAATAGAGGTCACGATGCTTTATAATCAGAAAAAATGCTTCATATTCTGGATAATGCATTATTTGTTTCACCAGAATAGCCAATACTCAAGGGAGACCTGTTTCCATAAAAATAAGTGTGACAGCAGACACTGCTGCTGTCTAAAGCCACCTCCCAGTTGAGTAGCTGGATTTCCCCAAGAGGAGTCCAAAGAAATGAATAGCATCAAAGGGGAGAAGGAAAAACAAAGTCCAAATAGCATATATCATCTATAAGACGCTTGTTTCTTCCTCAGCTATTCTTCTTCTGTGATCTATTGACTCTTTGCCAAGGCAGATGTAGTACATAATTTCTAAAAAAAAAATCCACCACCCTTACTCTTTCTCAAAAAAGGCAAAAGCTCTACTTAAAGCATCGTGCGAGAAGATAATTAAGAGGCCAGTTAGACACTTGTGTAGTGCTCCAGCAGTTTAGTCAATACGCTCATGGTTTTAGAGGCAGTGTCAGAAATCGCACTAAAATTGAGAATTGTGTTCATATACAGAGATGAACTGCCTGTCATTACTTAGAAAAAGTAAGAGTTATCAAAAAAAATGCACACACATTTTCACTCACATGCACAAGTCTATGCATGCTGAGATACCAAGCTTACTACTTAAGTTTCTTTGCCTGCTTTCCTCCAAAGAAAAGAGACTTATTTTAGCATATCCTAACTTCAAGCACAAATCTTTAGACTAGTCAGCTATAAGTTTTTCATCAAGAAAAAGTGCCTGATCAGCAGGCTGGTAATCAGAAAAAAAAGTACTTAGGCAGAAACCTAAGGTCTACATGCCTCCCAGAAGTTACTCTGACAACACCTTAAATTCTTTACTTCCAAAGAACTTTTTCTCACCCCATTAATTTTCAAATATGCCTGGGAACTGCTAAGCCATATACTTTACTGCTCTTAATAAGAAGAAATAGACATAAAAATTTAATTTTAGTTTTTAATATTAGGAATTAAAGCTGCTTAAATATTCTTAAATTAGAAGCCAAGCTTCAGAAAGATTAAAGCACTCCAGAAGATGAGGCTGGCACAATCATAACTCCTATCTACTTTTTCCATTAGCCTGTAATCTCATATAACATCTCACCCTGGCTATTAATTGAAGTTTGGTTGGGTTTTTTTGAGAAAATAAGGAAGTATCTTTAGTTTTGCTGAACCTGAACTTAACAGTTCTATCTGAAAAACACAGGAGCTATAAAGCAACTTTTTATCCATCAGAAGGATAACTTTATCTGAGTAGAAGCAAGGTTTCCCCCCCTTTTGTCTTTGAAGTTGGCAAAGCTTATTAAAGCTTATTGCAGCAAGTTTAATAAAGAAGGAACTTCAGCCTGAAAGTTAATACAATTAAAATCTGGGTGTCAAGTAAAATAATCTGTTCAAAGTATCACAGTCTTTCATAAAGAAACCTGCTTCATGGAAGATGCCAGTCCATGTTTTTAGAGCATAATGTCTTGGTTTCAAAATCAATATATGCATCCACATCTAGGAGTAAGATGACAAAAACATTTCATATAATGGTTTTAAAAGATTTCTGAAGAACTAATCAGAGAAAGAGACAAAAACAAATTCACTGAGCAACCACAAACAGATGCGACTACGAATCAAGGCTCACGCTAGTCTGCAGCAAAGACATTGCTGCTGATGCTTATTTTTACCTTAAATAACCATAACGGAAGAAAGTTAATGTATTTTTATAGTGAATTCCACCTAAATACATTACTCAAGGTGCTACCATAAAAGCTTTGGGATAAATATATTTGCATAGAGTAGAACAATTTTATAACCATGAAAATACAGCAGTCAGATGAAGCAACTAATAGAAAAGAAGAGGGAGAATAAGCAAGAACAGGACACTTCAGGACAATTTGTAGGCAAAGCCACTGCTATCGTGTTTTTGTAAAAAGAGTTTTCAGGGCAGGTAGAGTCAGTTTTCAGGATGTATCTGAAAACAAGACCAAATAAGAACACTGGATTTTAGTGGCATCATCTAAAAACATTTTATTACTGAACCCAATCATTACCGGTGTGTTTGCATTTAGTCTTTTCCATGCAAGTGTTTCTTGTTTATAACCATCACAATTAAGTAGATGAAGGCAGTACTAAATCCTCTAGTAACATTGACTATGTGTTTATTTTTTGGTGGAGTATTTTTGTTTGTTCGTTTTTAAACAAATAGAATGACTCCCACTGCTCCCTTGAATTCACATGGCCTGATAAGTGAATAGTACTTAACTTCTGTACCAGCTGAGAAAGAAAAATGCTTAGATCCACTGTTACTGTCAGAGAGAGGCCTAGAGGGGCAGGGAAGTATTCTAATGATCATAAATAAATAAAAAGGAATACATGTCTTGACAGACTCTCTAATTTCCCTTCCC